TCTAACCCTAAACCTAACCCTAAACCTAACTCTAACCCTAAACCTAACCCTAAACCTAATCCTAATCCTAATCCTAAACCTAACCCTAAACCTAACCCTTACCTTAACTTAAATCGCCCTTCTGCCGACGCGCTGTTGTAAATCGCCCTTCTGTCGACGGGCTGTTGTCGACGCGCTGTTGTTGGCACATTGATGATGTCGCGGCTTTAGCGACACGGTTTAGTCAGGCGCGGTTTTGTTGTTCGGCCTTTTGTCGGGCCATGCACAAGTCTTACATTTGCCAAGGTTGGACATCCTTTCTATAGATGGAATACTTTGTCACGATCCCTTCATCAGTATAGATGGAACCGTATCCAATGGTACATTGTAAATATCTGTAGGGATTTATCTTGCTATTGCCATGTAGTCTGTTTAGACAAGATAAAATATGGAATGTTTAGGATAGAGATAGGGGATTTATGGTAGCACGCTGGTTAGAATGCAGCATTGCAGGCTAACTGCCCACTGCCAGGAGTTCGATCCTGATCTGCTCAAGGTCAACTCAACCTTCCGAGGTCAATGAAATGAGGACCCAAATTGTTGGGGGCAATATGCTGACTCTGTAAACTGCTCAGAGAGTGCTGTAAAGCACTATGGAGCAGTATATAAGTCTAAGTGCTATTGCTAGTTCCATATTTCCCTACGTTATTGGGTTAAATTCTTATTGAGCTTAATCAGAGAATAGCAGCGTAACCCACACAACTTTTCTTATATGTTTAATTAATATAAGTATGGCACGTTTGATTCTGCCCCTAGTCTTCACAAAATGATGGTAATGGTTTAATGCTTTTAAATTAAACTTTTGATTATTTTATGGAATGTGTGACCTACATAATTTATATATAATATATGCTGTGGCCTTCAATTACTATATTGCTTTATATAGAGATCGGAGCAGACCTTAAGCAAGAAGATATAGACCAAAGAGAACAGGAAATACAAAAGCGAATAGCTAAAGTACAGACTAAACTCTTGCTTCAGGTAAAACTATTCCTCTGTCTTGTTAAATATAAATGTTCCTAATGTTTACTATGTAATGCAGATTTTCCTGCGATGCATTTTAATAGGGTATATCAAGAGTACTGGTACAAATCAGGCATAGATTTGTCTTAATGTTGTTTAATACTAACATAGTTGGAGGGGATTTTGGAGATCTTCTAGTATCTAGTCCAACCCCCTGTGCAAGCAGGAGGACCCATAACATTTCAGACAAGAGTGGGAGTTCAGTTTCTTTTTAAAAGCCGCCAGTGATGAAACACCCACAACTTCTGAAGGTAAGCTGTTCCACAGGTTAATTGTTCTTACTGTTGGGAAATTCTCCTTAGTTCTAGATTGCTTATCTGCTTGATTAGTTTCCATCCATTGCTTCTTGCCTTCCGGTGCTTTGGAGAATAGCTTGACTCCCACTTCTTTGTGACCGCTCTTCAAATATTGGAAGACTCCTATCATGTTACCCCTAGTCCTTCTTTTTACTATACTAGACAAACCCAATTCCTGCAACTGTTCTTCATATGCATCTAGGCCTTACTCATTTTTGTTGCTCTCCTCTGCAATCTTTCCAGAGTCTCAACATCTTTTTTTAATGTGATGATCTTTTTAAATAATAGTTTTTGCTTGTACAAAAAAAATCTTGATCGAATCCAAATGCTATCCATCCTTAACCAATAATCTTTGACTTAACCGTCTGGAACGAGCTCCCCGTGGAGATCCGGACCCTTACTACCCTCCCGGCCTTCCGTAAAGCTACCAAGTCCTGGCTGTTCCGGCAGGCTGGGGGCTGTTGAAGTATCCAGCCCCACTTTAATTGTGAATGTTGTGTATTTTAAAAAAATTTGTATCGTCTTATTTATTCCCCCTTTCCCTGTTTTATTGTGAGCCGCCCGGAGTCCTTCGGGAGTGGGCGGCATACAAAACCAATAAACAAAACAAAACCTTTCCATCCTTCTTCTTGACTCTTTGTCCTGCAGTAATGTCAGTCAATGTAAGTTCATTTCAGATTAGGACTTCAAGAGAAGATACAAAAACATCATAACTCTCATCCAGTGAGGAGA